ACTTGGACTCAGCCTTTAGCTCTCAGCATAACCCTGACTGCCCAGACCAACTAATGTCCTCCAGACCCAATCATAGCCCACAGCTCCCTTTCTGTCGTGCTTGTTATACTGGGAACTGTTGGGACTGTACACCTACCTCAAAGGAGTGCATCAGTACAAAGGGCCTGCTCATGGGAGCATTCTGCAAACATTAGCTCTTCACCGTTTTTTTGTTTGTTTTTTTGTTTGTCTGAGACAGGATCTCATTCTGTCACCCAGGCTAGAGTGCAGTGGATTGCATGGTACAATCACAGCCACAGCCTCAACCTCCCAGACTCAGGTGATCCTCCCACCTCAGCCTTCCAAGTAGCTAGGACACAGGCATGGACCAGCCGGCTAATATTTATTATTTTTGTAGAGCGGGGATCTCACTGTGTTTCCCAGGCTGGTCTTGAACTCCTGGGCTCAAGCGTTCCATCCGCCTTGGCCTCTCAAAGTGCTGGGATTACAGGCATGAGCCACCGCACCCAGCCAGCTCTTTACCTATTGTTACTGGTTATGTTTGTCTTTCTTCCTCGATTATACCCTCTCGTTTATCCTGTAACCCAGACCTCCCACAGTGAGAACTGGGCTGAATTGCAGGTGCCCGATAAATACGTGTTGAATGAAGGACTATATAAAAAAATTAGTTGAGCTGGGCACAGTGGCTCATGCCTGTAATCCCAGCACCTTGGAAGGCCGAGGCGGGCAGATCACCTGAGGTCAGGAGTTCAAGACCAACCTGGCTAAAATGGTAAAACCCCGTCTCTACTAAAAATACAAAAATTAGCCAGGCCTGGTGGCGCACACCTGTAGCTACTTGGGAAGTTGAGGCAGGAGAATCGCTTGAATCCAGGAGGTGGAGGTTGCAGTGAGCTGAGATCGTGCCACTGCACTCCAGACTGGGCTTCAAGAGTGAAACTGTCTCAAAAAAAAAGAAAAAAAAATTGGTTGAGTGGGGAGAATGGGGAGTTATTATGTAATGGTACAGAGTTTCGGTCTGGGAAGACAAAAAAAGTTCTGGAGATGGATGGTGGTGATAGTTGCAGAAGAGTGTGAATGTCTTTAATGCCACGGAACTGTACACCTAAAACGGGTTAAAGTATCTGTTGGATAAGAGGTTGATGTAAAAAAGAAAGAATTAAAAAATTTTTAAATGGTTAAAATGGCAAATTTCATATTATGTGTATTTTGTCATAATAAAAAAGTGGCTCATGCTTGTAATCCCAACACTTTGGGAGGCTGAGGTGGGCAGATCACGAAGTCAAGAGATCGAGACCATCCTGGATAACAAAGTGAAACCCCGTCTCTACTAAAAATAGAAAAATTAGCCGGGCATGGTGGTGCCTGCCTGTAGTCCCAGCTACTCGGGAGGCTGAGGCAGGAGAATTGCTTGAACCTGGGAGGTGGAGGTTGCAGTGAGCAGAGATAGCACCACTGCACTCCAGCCAGGTGAAAGAGCGAGACTACATCTCAAAAAAAAAAAAAGTGCTAAATAAATGTATACATAATTTTGAACCAGCTCCTATCCGACTCTAATATTTCAATTCAATAAACATTCAAGCCTGGGCGCATTGGCTCACACCTGTAATCCCAGCACTTTGGGAGGCCAAGGCAGGCGGATGATGGGGTCAGGAGTTCAAGACCAGCCTGACCAACATGGTGAAACCCCATCTCTACTAAAAATACAAAAATTAGCCAGGTGTGGTGGCAGGCACCTGTAGTCCCAGCTACTCGGGAGGCTGAGGCAGGAGAATCGCTTGAACCCAGGAGGCAGAGGTTGCAGTGAGCCGAGATCGCTCCACTGCACTCCAGCCTGAGTGACAGAGCGAGACTCTGTCTCAAATAAATAAATAAATAAATAAATAAATAAATAAAATAAACAATCATAGGGTGCCTACTCTTGGTAAGACATAAAGTACACTCTTGGACTTATTTAATAGTATATAAAATAGACTAAAAATTGCAATCCGATTGCCCTTTGTGTGTAAAACATGTTTTAACTAGATAGCCAGGTCTTATTTATCTTTATACCCCAAGCAGCCAGCACTTAATATGGGCTCAGTATTTGCTAAATTGAAAATAGTGCACTGACAAAAATTCAGTATTTGTTTAGGCCTTTCCCCATTACAAAATGCTCCCACAAACAATCCATTTCCTGTTACCATTGAGCTTCTTTGACTTTCACCCTTTCTTCTCTTTCCCCTTACCTTCATTTTTTTGTTTGTTTGTTTGTTTTGTTTTGTTTTTTTGAGATGGAGTCTCGCTCTGTCACCCAGGCTGGAGTGCCGTGGTGCAATCTTGGCTCACTGCAACCACCACCTCCCGAGTTCAAGCAATTCTTGTGCCTCAGGCTCCTGACTAGCTGGGATTACAGGCATGTGCTACCACGCCTAGCTACTTTTCGTAGTTTTTAAAGTGGAGACAGGGTGTCTCCACGTTGGCCAGGCTAGTCTCAAACTCCTGACCTCAGGTGATCCACCCGTCTCGGCCTTCCAAAGTTCTGGTATTACAAGTGTGAGCCAGCACCTGGCCTTCATGTTATCAGCCATCTCTTCCTGACTTTCTGGATCAACACAACTTCTTCAATTTCTTTATCCTTGTGTTACTATTTTCAACTGCTCATTTCTGGCTCTCATTGCCTCACATCTCAGCAAACGTTTCTATTTTATACCAAAACAGTTACATTTGACTCTGAGGTGGAAGACACGTTACTAGCATAAAGGTCAGTTGGTCAGAAGCCAACCCGGTCACATGCCCGAGAGTCCTGGGAACCACCCCCCCACCTGTCTCAAAACCTTCTGGGCATCCTTGACAGCAAGTATTACTCATCCGGTTTCAAAAAGGAATTGCACACCGCTTGTCTACTACCTGTAGTTTAAATGGTGGTCATGTTTTCTGGTTTCTTCCTTTATAATCGACTTCAGTGTTTTTATAAAGAAAGGAAGTATACTTTAGATAAGCAGCATACTATATAACAAAAACTTAGGAGGCATTATAAAAAGAAGGGAACACTAAAAGCATGAGGTTAATCAGAGTGACAAATAATATTTCTGGGCAGGTGTGGTGGCTCACACTTGCAATCCCAGCACTTTGGGAGGCTGAGGCGGGTGGATCACTTGAGGTCAGGAGTTCAAGACCAGCCTGGCCAACATAGTGAAACCTCGTCTCTATTAAAAATACAATAATTATCTGGGCATGGTGGCACGGGCCTCTATTTCCAGCTACTGGGGAGGCTGAGGCAGGAGAATTGCTTGAACCTGGGAGGTGGAAGTTGCAGTGAGCTGAGATGGCACCACTGCACTCCAGCCTGGGCAATAGAGCAAGAGTCTGTCAAAAAAAAAAAAAAAAAAGAAGGAAGGAAGGAGAAAGAAAAAGAAAGAAAGAGAGAGAAAGAAAGAAAGAAAGAAAGAAAGAAAGAAAGAAAGAAAGAAAGAGAGAAAGAAAGAGAGAAAGGGAAAATAAAATTCCTATTTTCAAGGTCTGATGTCATATGGTATCTACCATCAGGAGGAGGGACCCCTTCAAACCCAGCTTTTCAATGCTAGACAAGGCTATAGTTTGAATATGGCCCCCAAAGTTTGTGTGTTGCAAGCAGAATCCCCGAAGCAACAGTGTTGAGTGGTGGAAACTTTAAAAGGTGATTAGGTCATCTGCCTTCATGAATGGATTAATGCTGTGATCTCAGGACTGGGTTCCGCTAAAAGGATGAGTTCAGCCCCTCTCTTCTCTTTCTCCCTCTCTCTTTCTCACACTCACACTCTGTCCCTTCTCTTCTCTCTTCTCTTTCTCTTATTCTGTCTTGCCCTTCTGTGATATGTGACAAGAAGTACCTCACCAGATGCAGACCTCACCAGATGCCCTTCAACCTTGGACTTCCTGGCCTCCAGAAACTACCCAGTTTCGATATCTGTTACAGAATATAAAATGCATATAGACAAAATAGAAAGAAGTAGAGAGGTGACAATAGTTTCATAAGAAACTGGGGGTCTCATTTGGCTTCCATATGCCTGATGCCTTTGACATCTAAGCAGAGGTCTCATTCTAATATCCCTGGTAGATTCGACACAGCACAGCACAGACTCGGCCGGGCGCGGTGGCTCACACTTGTAATCCCAGCACTTTGCGAGGCCGAGGCGGGCAGATCACCTGAGGTCAGGAGCTCGAGACCAGCCTGGCCAACATGGTGAAAGCCCGTTTCTACTAAAAATACAAAAAACAAAAAACAAAAATAGCTGGGCGTGGTGGCGGGTGCCTGTAATCCCAGTTAGCACCAGACTCTGGCTCTGGGCTGCCAGAGGAAGAAACCTTTTTCTTTTACTTACTAGCTCTGTGAACTCAGGCAAGTTTCCTAAACCTGCCTCAGTTTTCTCCTCATTCAAAAAATGAAAACAACAAGATATACCATAGAGTTTTATGAGCATTAAATAAATTAATATTTGCAAAGCACTTAAAACAATGCCAGGTTCCTGGCATTGTATCAATGTTTGATAAGTAAATGACATTACAAATATAGTTATCACACATCTTAGCACCCTACAGTTTACAAATTAATTTTGGTATACTAGTCTCATCAAATTATCACCATTCCAAGGAAGGTATTATCACCTTGATGTGTGGATCAAGAAATAAAGTTTCCTAAGTGTTTTGTGAAGTTAATGATTTGGGGACAAAGTTGACGAGAAGGAAAAATAATTTCATCTATTTTATTTCTATGCTTAGTTCAAGGGAAAAGGGTCAGTACCTTTTCTCCTATTTTCATACCAGAGAGCACGGTGGTTAATCACTTAATTTTTCTTTGGTTACCGATATGGTTTGGCTGTGTCCCCACTCAAATCTCACCCTCAGGTGTAGTTCCCGTAATCCCCACATGTCATGGGAGGGAGGTAATTGACTAAAGGGAGGTAATTGACTCATGGGGGCGGGACTTTCCCGTGCTGTTCTCATGATAGTGAGTAAGTCTTACGAGATCTCATGTTTTATAAAGGGTAGTTCCCCGGCAGATGCTCTCTTGCCTGCGCCATGTAAAATGTGACTTTGCCTCTTCTTTGCCCTCTGCCATGATTGTGAAGCCTCCCCAGCCATGTGGAACTGTGAGTCCATTAAAAAACCTCTTTTTCTTTATCAATGACCCAGTCTCAGGTATTTCTTCATAGCAGTATGAAAATAGATTAATATAGTTACTATGATAATACGTAGAATACCTTCCATTGAAACATAGTTTGTATATGTGTATCTGTGATATCTGACATATTGCATGTCTCTCTTCCAAGAAAGTTTTCTTATTATTAGGTCCTTTATTACTAAGGACCTTTGGGGAACAATGGTAATTTCATACATATTAGTTTTAATGGTGAATGTTACACTTATGCTCAACTTCTAGGCTGAAGTTCAGTCTGTTAGCCTGTAGACGGAAGCTCACTGTAGACTCTGGATTGAGTCTTCCTCTTCTCCAACACACACCTACACCTAGAATTATGTAAGAAATTTGTTTTCTGCTCTGCAGTGTTGGTACTTCCTTTTTCCTTTTTTTTCTTTTCTTTTTTTTATTTTTTATTTTATTTTTATTTTATTTTTATCTGGAGACAGAGTCTAACTCTGTCGCCTGGGCTGGGCTGCCGTGGTGTGATGTTGGCTCCCTGCAACCTCCACCTCCTGAGTTCAAGTGATTCTCCTGCCTTAGCCTCCTGACTAGCTGGGATTACAGGCACGCGCCACAACGCCCAGCTAATTTTTGTATTTTTAGTAGAGACGGGGTTTCACCATGCTGGTTAGGCTCATCTTGAACTCCTGACCTCAAGTAATTCACCTGCCTCTGCCTCCCAAAGAGCTGGGATTACAGGCATGAACCACCACGCCCAGCCCTTTTTCTTTTCTTTTCTTTTCTTTTTCCTTCCTCCCTCCCTCCATCATTCCCTTCCTCCTTCCTTCCTTTCTTTCTTCCTTCCTTCCTTTCTTTTCTTTTCTTTTCTTTCTTTTTTTTTTTTTCAATAGAGACAGAGTCTTGTTATGTTGCTTGGGCTGGTCACCAACTCCTGGCCTCAAGCGATCCTCTCTCACCTCAGCCTCCCAAAGTGCTGTAATTACAGGCATGAGCCACTGTACCCAGCCAGTATTTCCTATTTTAAATAGGATACTATACATGGACAAAGGTTCTCAGGGTAGCTGGACAAACCGGAGAGGCAGGATTGCCTTCCTCCTCAGGTCTTGGGTGCTCCTAGACACTGCAGGGTGCTGTCAAGCACACAGGTTTGGGAATGCAGAGCTGAACTGTCTGGGATTGAATTTCAGCCATACCATTTTCTAGCTGTGTGACTTTCAGCAAGACAATCATTCTCTCTCCATTTCCTCATTTACAATATGGAGATATTGACAGTATCTACCTTACGGGGTTATTGGGAAGATTGCGTGGTTAATGCCAGTGAAGCCCTTAGAACACTAGGCCCACCTGGCTCGTACAAACATTCTGTAAATGTTATCTATTAGTGTTATGTCCTATTTTGCTTAACACAGTAATCATCCTGTCGTCTAAGTCAATAGCTTTCAAACATTTTTGCCTGTGACTTCCAGTAAGAAATATATTTTGGCCAGGCGCAGTGGCTCATGCCTGTAATCCCAGCACTTTGGGAGGCTGAGGCGGGTGCAGCACAAGGTCAGGAGATTGAGACCATCCTGGCTAACAGGGTGATACCCCGTCTCTACTAAAAATAGAAAAAAATTAGCTGGGCGTGGTGGTGGCGCCTGTAGTCCCAGCTACTTGGGAGGCTGAGGCAGGAGAATGGCGTGAACCCGGGAGGCGGAGCTTGCAGTGAGCTGAGATCGCGCCACAGCACTCCAGCCTGGCAACAGAGCGAGACTCTGTCTCAAAAAAAAAAAAAAAGAAAAAAAGAAATATATTTACATCATAATCCGCTACATACACACATAAAAAAACTAGATCGAAGTTTCACAAAACATGAATCCTCTTACTAACACATTGGGCTGTCTTAATTTCTATTCCCCTTTTTACGATGGTGGTGCCTTATTAAGTTGATTTCACAACCCGATAATGGGTCAGTTAGAAACACTGGGCCCTTTGATAGGCTATTCAATAGGCTGAATAATGACCCCCTAAGATGTCCACGTCCTAATTCCTACAAAAGGGATTTTGCTGATGTGATTAATGTTACAAATCTTAAGGTGTGTTGATTCTCCCAGATTATCTAGGTGGGCCTAGTCCAGTCAACACAAGTCCTTCGAAGTGGAGAACCTTTCCTGGCTGTGATCAGACAGAGAGGTGACTGTGAAAGAAGGCTCAGAGATGCAGAAGAAAAAGGACAGTCTGCCATTGCTGGCTTTGAACATGGAGAAAGGGGGCCATGAGCCAAGGAATGTGAATAGCTGCTCCAAGATGGAAAAAGCAAGAAGACAGATTGCTTCTGAGAGCCTCTAGAAAGAAACACAGCCCTGCAACACCATGATTTTAGCCCAGTGAGACCCCTCTCAGACTTCTGACCACCACAATTGTTAGATAATAAATGTATATTGTTTAAGAAACTAGATTTGTGATAATTTGTCCCAGTAGCAATAGAAAACTAATATATTATGTAAGCCAGAAGCCTTGACGTTACTGTCTCTCTAGACTTTTCTTTTTTCTTTTATTTATTTTATTTTATTTTTTTGAGACAGAGTCTCGCTCTGTTGCCTAGGCTGGAGTGCAATGGCACAATATCAGCTCACTGAAACCTCCACCTCCCAGGTTCAAGCGATTTTCCCACGTCAGCCTCCAGCAGAGCTGGGATTGTAGGCCTACACCACCACGCCCAGCTAATTTTTGTATTTTTAGTAGAGACGGGGTTTCACCGTGTTGGTCAGGCTGGTCTTGAACTTTTGACCTCAAATGACCCGCCTCAGCCTCCCAAAGTGCTGGGATTAAAGGCATGAGCCACTGCGGTGGCCTAGACCTTTAATTTAATGGTCTTTAATGTCATTAAATTTAATGCCACCTAGTCCTCTTGCTTCTATCTTTGAATATCTCTGAAAAAAATCCATATATTTCCCCAATTTTCATGGCTCTTGCCCTCATTCAGTTCCTATGTATCTCAATCTTGATTTATTTCTACTTCTGGGCCCCTACCTGTCCTACATCCTCTTCCCTCTGGCTTTCAGAGTTAAGTTAATAAACTACCAGTATGATTACCTCTTGGCACTTTTTTGGGGGGTGAGGGTGGGGGATAGAGTCTCGCTCTATCGCCCACACTGGACTACAGTGGCGCGATATTGGCTCACTGCAACCTCCACCTCCTGGGCTCAAGCGATTCTCCTGCCTCAGTCTCTGAAGTAGCTAGGATTACAGGCAGGAACCACCATGCCTGGCTAATTTTTGTATTTTTAGTAGAGACAGGGTTTCACCATATTGGCCAGGCTGGCCTTGAGCTCCTGACCTCGTGATCCACCCGCCTCAGCCTCCCAAAGTGCTGGGATTACAGGCGGGAGCCACTGCGCCCGGCCCGGCACTTTGTTTTTTTAAGAGACTGGGGACGGGGGCATCTTGCTATGTCACCCAACGTGGGAGTTGCTGGTCTCGAACTCCTAACCTCAAACCATTCTCCCAAAGTGCTGGGATTACACGTCTGAGCCATCACACCCAGCTCTTGTCACTTCTGATGCCTCAACATGCTTCCAGAATAAAATCTGAAGTCTTTAGAGCAATCGTCAAAGCTTCTCAGATGACCCAGTTCAAATCTATGAGGACACATTTCTCTGCTGCCATTTTCCCCATTCTGGCCTCTCAGAATATTATACTTATAAAGTTAGTCTTCCGGCCGGGCGCGGTGGCTCAAGCCTGTAATCCCAGCACTTTGGGAGGCCGAGACGGGCGGATCACAAGGTCAGGAGATCGAGACCATCCTGGCTAACACGGCGAAACCCCGTCTCTACTAAAAACACAAAAAATTAGCCGGGTGAGGTGGCGGCGCCTGTGCTGAGGCAGGAGAATGGCGGGAACCCGGGAGGCGGAGCTTGCAGTGAGCTGAGATCTGGCCACTGCACTCCAGCCTGGGCGAAAGAGCGAGACTCTGTCTCAAAAAAAAAAAAAAAAAAAAAAAAAGTTAGTCTTCCATGTCACTTTATTATAATTGGTTATCTATTTTTTTGGTCTTAAAAAATGTGCTTCCTCAGGACCAAAGAAGCAACAAAGAACATGTCCTGCCTGCCAGTCAGTCAGCTCTGACTGTGTCGCCATCTAAGGCCTCATTTATTATTTATATAGAGTATGCCTCTCCAATCACAATGTGCTTTATTTTTTAATTAGGGCATTAGTGGCCAAGAGAACTCTCTTTTCCATACTCTTGAGCAAAATAAATAAATTCATCAGCAGTGCATTTTTTATTTTTATCTTTTATTTTAATAAACCTCATCAAAAATTTGTATCAACCTATGCATTTGAAAGGTCTTGCTAGACGTAACATCAAAACGTGGATGATAAATGCATGAAGGAGACGGACTTGGTGGCTCACGCCTGTAATCCCAGCACTTTGGGAGGACGAGGCAGGAGTTTGATACCAGCCAAGTCAACATGATGAAACCCCGTTGCTACTAAAAATACAAAAATTGGCTGGTCGTGGTGGCGGTGCACGCCTGTAATCTCAGGTACTCAGGAAACTGAGGCAGGAGAATCACTTGAACCCAGGAGGCAGAGGTTGCAGTGAGCCGAGATTGCGCCACTGCACTCCAGTCTGGGCGACAGATTGAGACTCCTTCCAAATAAATAAATGGAATGGAAGGGAGGAAAGGGAAGGGAAGGAGAAAGAAAAGAAATGCATGAAGCTGGCCGTCTCCTGCCTCTGTGGGAGTCTGAGGCACATCTTTGCAGTCCCATAAGTGAGAGGAAGGCAGTTTCTCCAATGAAAACCGACATCCTCACCCTTGACCCTGCCCCCACAGCTTCTCTGGTATTCTGTCTTTTCCTTCATGTTCCCTGTGGTTTCACCAACCAAGTCAGATCAGGGGTATGATTCAATGTTACTACAACTAGAGGAAATTTCAGATTACAAACTACATGGTGTTGTAAAACAGTGTATTTGTTTGCTAGAACTGCCCTAACAAAAATACCACAGACTAGGTGGCTTAAGTGACAGAATTTATTTCCTCACCGTTCTGGAGTCTGAAGGTCTAACATCACGGTGTCAGTAGGGTTGCATTCTCTTGAGGCCTCTCTCTTGGCTTGCAGATGGCCACCTTCTCCCTGCTTTTGCATACGGCCTTTTCTCTGGGCAAGCATCCCTGGTGTCTATCTGTGTGTCCACATTTCCTCTATTTATGAGTACACCAGTCAGATTGGATTAGGGCCCACACATACGCCACACTTAATATTAATTACCTCTTGGCTGGGCACGGTGGCTCACGCCTGTAATCCCAGCACTTTGGGAGGCCGAGGCAGGCAGATCACCTGAGGTCAGGAGTTCGAGAGCAGCCTGACCAATATGATGAAACCCCATCTCTACTAAAAATACAAAAATGAGCTGGGTGAGGTGGTGTGCGCCTGTAGTCCCAGCTACTGGGGAGGCTGAGACAGGAGAATTACTTGAACCTGGGAGGCAGAGGTTGCAGTGAGCCGAGATCACGCCACTGCACTCCAGCCTTGGCGACAGAGCGCGATCCCATCTCAAAAAAAAAAAAAAAAAAAAAATACTTACCTCTTTAAAGGCCATATCTCCAAATAGAGTCACATTCTTAGGTTCTCGGTGTTGGGAGATCAATATGTGAATTTTGGAGAGACGTAATTCAGCCCATAATGAATAGTGAGGATATCACCTCCTAACTCAGCTTTGCGCATACAGAATTCTAATAAATTCCTTCTTGGTGCACCTTAAAGCCCTGTTACTATCCTCCTATTTGGGTACTACATTTCCATTTTCCTATGTCAAGGCTGAGCTCTACCCTGTGGCCCTAATTTGGGCTCAAGAGGAATCCCATCTTTTGCTATGGACCCTCACACACCCACCCCTTGTTCTACCTTATAACCCCTAAACTTGCCACAGCCTCACCACCAACTCAGCTTGCCTAGCACTGCCAAAACCATTTTCCCCTTCTTTCTGACATTTTGGACTTGGATTCTTTTGAAGACTATCGTGAGCCCTTATATTTGCAATGGAATTTTTTTTTCTTTTCTTTTCTTTTCTTTTTTTTTTTGAGATGGAGTCTTGCTCTGTCACCCAGGCTGGAGTGGCAGTGGCGTGATCTCAGCTCACTGCAACCTCTGTCTCCCAGGTTCAAGTGATTCTCCTACCTCAGCCTCTTGAGTAACTGGGATTACAGGCACCTGCAACCACACCCAGCTAATTTTTGTATTTTTAGTAGAGACAAGGTTTTGCCTTATTGCCCAGGCTGGTCTCAAACTCCTGACCTCAAGTGATCCACCTGCCTCAGCCTCTCAAAATGCTGGGATTATAGGCATGAGCCACTGTGCCCAAACTTGCAACAGAATTTCTGAGAAATCGTGTTCCACTCTTGCTTCCCCTTTCTTCTCTCTATGCCCTGCATTTTTAAAAAAGTACCTTTAATGTTATTATTATTATTATTATTATTATTGAGATGGTGTCTCACTGTCACCCAGGCTTGAGTGCAGTGGTATAACCTCGGCTCACTGTAGCCTCTGTCTCCCAGGTTCAAGTGATTCTCCTGCCTCAGCCGCCTAAGTAACTGGGATTACAGGTGTGTACCACCATGCCCAGCTAATTTTTGTATTTTTAGTAGAGATGGGGTTTCTCTACTAAAGAAAGCCATGTTGGCCAGGCTGGCCTTGAACTCCTGACCTCAGGTGATCCGCCCACCTCTGCCTCCCAAAGTGCTGGGATTATAGGTATGAGGCACCACGCCCAGCCAAAAGTAACTTCTAGAATTACTCAACTCCTGCTAGGTACAGTTACCTAAATTCCACTAATGGTCACATAATTTGAGTCCAGATTCTCAGATGCATTATCTGTCCAATTAGAAAGTTGTAAAGAGCATTTTCAACAAAGCCAGCAAGAGCACCTTTCATTAAACATTTCAGGTATGTAATGTGGAGGGGGGGCTCTTCCTCTTCTTCCTCCTGTTTCAATTTGCAGGTTTTTTTGCATGAGGCATTCTTGCTTCATGGACCAGGTTCAAACTTGACCAATATACCTGACCACCCGGAAGCTGTGTCCTAGTCTTTGGCTGTGGTCTGGGAATAGCGGTAGCTCCTAGGAAGGCGTGAGTCAGGGGCAGAGCGATGCAATGTGCTGGTAATGGGGATGCATTTGAAGACCAGTGGCTCATGCCTTGAGCCATCATAGGCCCAAGCTCAGTGTCCTCTCCTGGGAAACTTGGTGGCTTGTGCCTGTATGTGTTTAGAGAGTAGGCAAGGATAGCATTCCTGATCTAGGCAGAGCCTTATTTGAAAGACTTCTGTTTTTGTTTTAGTTTTATTTTAGTTTGGGGTGTGTGTGTGTGCACACACGTGTGTTTTAAGTGGACATTAAAAATTCCAAGCCTAAGGCAGAATCACCCTGAAGGATGCTAAGTGCAACTCC